TGTTTATGAAAATTAATAAAATATAATTATAGAAAAAAAAAGATGAATGCTTTGTTTATAGTGGTGCAATTGATTTTTTAAATTGATGGAAGAAAGCTGGCAGAAAATTCAAACATTAGAAAGTGGTATTTTATAGGCTAATTTAATGAGTTGGGTAGTACTCTGTTGTGCTTAAGGCTACTACAACAATACTTGGACATTTTGTGTGTAAATTGTATCTCAAAAAGATTGATTCAGAAGCAATTATGTTAAAGTATTGGCATCACTCAGGAGTTTGGAGTGTGTTGGATTGGGAGAGGGGGTGAAGGAGAAGAAAATACTCAACAGTGAAAAAAAAATTATTTAAGAAACCCAAAAAAACAAAAAAGCAAGTTAGAGAAATGGATGTTAATGAGCCACACTGCAACTGCTCTGTAAAACTATCACTTACCTGGGAAGTATCAAAGAATACTGTCCACACTTTCCTGAAAAAGGTTACCAGACTAGTTTCAAGTACTTATTGATGTGAGGCTTTATATTTCAACCAGAACAGCATGGCACAGCATAGCACTTTTTCTGTTAAACCAGCCTTGAAATGAGATTTGTGAAATGTAAAGCATTTTCTTACTAAAATGCTTTGGAAAATCCAAATTTCTTCCATTATCTGAAATGATACTCCTATGAAGCTGAAATGGTATATATGAAAAAGTTATCATTAATTTATATGCCTGTAGTTATTATTTTTGCTTTTATTTCCAGAGAGTGGGACCGGGGCCGGGAGCGCCGTAGTCGGGGTGAATACCGTGACTATGACCGGAATCGACGGGAACGCTTCTCACCTCCCCGCCATGAGCTCAGCCCCCCACAGAAACGCATGCGGAGAGACTGGTAAGATGGCAGCTTCCCTGCCTCTTCTGGGCTCCAGCTCTCCTCTCTCATCTTTGCTGAAAATACTGTCCTTTCCTTTTCTCAAATTTCACATAAACTTACTCTGTCTTTGTCTCTTAAAGTCTTTGGGTGAGTGATCACTTTCCTTAGCTGCTGTCCCCTCCCTCTGTCTTACCTCCTTTGTGTTCTGGCGGGATGGGTCCCTTCTCTGACTTTTGTGTTTTCCCCCCACCCTCAGGGATGAGCACAGTTCTGACCCATACCACAGTGGCTATGAGATGCCCTATGCTGGGGGGGGTGGGGGCCCAACTTATGGCCCCCCTCAGCCCTGGGGCCACCCAGACGTCCACATCATGCAGCATCATGTACTGCCTATCCAGGCCAGGTAAAGACCTGGGGTCTCAGAGAAGGGAGTTGATAAAGTGTGGGGGTGGATTGCGATTGCTGGAGACCATGGCTGGAGCACAGGGAGGGACGACGGGTGGTGGCAGTTAATATCTGGGTTGATGTCCAGGGTGGGAAAAAGAGGGGGCAGCTGGCTACCTTGGCCCTCCCCACCCCCCCACCCTCTTCCCCACAACCAAAACCTCTTGATCGGGCCCTCCCTAGGCTGGGCAGCATTGCGGAGATCGACTTGGGCGTGCCACCACCAGTCATGAAGACCTTCAAGGAGTTTCTCCTGTCACTGGATGACTCTGTGGACGAGACAGAGGCAGTTAAGCGCTATAACGACTACAAACTGGATTTTCGAAGGCAGCAGATGCAGGATTTCTTCCTGGCTCATAAAGATGAGGAGTGGTGAGTATCCCTACTTCTCTGTTACATTGTCCCTGCCTTGTTTCTCCTGGCCCAGCCCTGTCCTCTACCCATTTTCCCCTGATCTAGTATTTCCTGGGGGTGGGAGGTGGGAGATGGGAAGTATAACAGTATTGGCTGATGGGGTCTCAGTTCATCTACTGCCATGGCTCCCCACCCACTCACCCCTCCCACTGTCCTCAGTCAGTGGGCCGCCTCCAGGCAGCTGGCTGGAGATACTTGGCCCTTTGGGACAACAGACAGGTTGTTTCCCACTTGCTGGCATTGGGCCATTGTCATTCCTGATCGCTGAGACCCTCTGTGGCTGTGGTGTCCTCCCAAAAACGACGAGTGATTCCAGACAAGAAAATGCAAGGTCTCAGGGTCATTTGACAGAAAAAGAGTTTTAATTTTTTTTCCCTTTTGTGGATGTTTTAATTTTAACCATCTTTTCCCCCCTTCCTGCTCCTCCTCCTCATCCTCTTTCTGCTCCTCCTCCTTGAAAAGAGCCAGAACTGGGAACTACACCCGCCCATCGACGGAGCTCGGAGCAAACCCACCTCCACCCCCACCATACCCAGCCCATACATGAGCCCCCTGGGCTGAGCAGCGCTGCCCCGGCCAGGCAGACAGGCAGGGCACTGCTGTGCACAATGCAGCGGTTTAGCTGAATGTGAATGCTTAGGCAGCTAGTCAGTTAGGGCCCCCACCGCAGACTCCGCGGGGGTGGGGCAACTGGGCCGGGAAGCCCCTGCCAGGAGCCAGCCGATGGCCCACCAGCCAGCATGGGCCCTGGGCGCGGCTAGTTAAATCTTGAGCTCTGTTTGACCAAGCAGCCAAGGTAAAGATCCTGGAGCTGATGCCTGCGGCTTTTCCTTTCCCCTTATGCTCAACATGTGGTTCTGTACTGTCTATTTTTTTTTACTTTCTTTGTCTCCTACTTTATTCTTTTTCTGCTCTTATTTCATAACACTGCTTTCTTTGTTTTCAGTTTCTGTCTTTGGTCTTCAGTTTTCCCATGTTGTTGATTTCTGGGCATTTCTTACCCTTTTTTCATACTCTGAGTATCTCCTTTTTGGTTGTATTTTAAATGTATTCTTTTTTATGCTTCATCCTTCCCCCTCCACTACTCTTTTTTCTCTGTCCACGTGGGCAGTACCTGAAGTTATAAGGACACTTCACTTTTTCCCTTTGGCCTTTCCCTGTCCCCTCACCATCTTGCTTGTCTTCCCGAGGGGGGGAGAAAGACAGCCTGCCTTTTTCTATCTGGTGCACTTCAGTTTTCCCTCTGTTTCTCCACTAGAGTTAGTGGGAATTGGTGGGAGCAGTCCTAATGACTAGAGTTCAGGGCTGGCTTTTGGGGGAGCCTACTATTTCCTTAGTCCTTCTTTGGGAAAACGTTACTTTTTAAATTCCTATTTCTCAGAGATTTGGGGCAATAAATCTGCCTTTCCATCTCTGGGCCTCTCCCATAGTCATTTTTCTTCCCAACTCCAGAGCTCTTAGTACCTGGTTCTCCCCCACATCTTCTCAGAGCATAACTTTTGTTTCCTTTTGGGATTGATTGGGTAGTTCTAGTGCATTCCCTTCCCCTAATCTCTGCTTTTGTGATCTTTTGTGGGTTTGAGAGGATAGGGGCTTAGCCCTTATTTTCCTGGGCCCCTCCTCACATCCTGGCTCTGACCTCCAGTGACTGTTCTGTTTCTTCCCTTCCTCCTCAGGTTTCGGTCTAAGTACCACCCAGATGAGGTGGGGAAGAGGCGGCAGGAGGCCCGAGGGGCCCTACAAAATAGACTGAGGGTATTTCTGTCTCTCATGGAAAGTGGTTGGTTTGATAATCTTCTCCTGGACATAGACAAAGCCGATGCCATTGTCAAAATGCTGGATGCAGGTTTGTGGATTTGGAGTGGTAACATTAGGGTCGGGGTTGACTGGTGGTCGGAGACCCAGAGGCTGAAGGCTAGGACTCTTGGATTGTGACCTCTGCTCTTTTACCATAGCTGTGATTAAGATGGAAGGAGGCACAGAGAATGACCTACGCATTCTGGAGCAGGAAGAAGAAGAGGAACAAGCGGGAAAGCCTGGGGAACCAGGCAAGAAGGAGGAAGGCCGAACTGGACCTGGGCTTGGAGATGGAGAGCGCAAGGCCAACGATAAGGACGACAAGAAAGAAGAGGGCAAACAGGTCTGAGTGATGGGCCACGAGGGGAGGAGGATAGAAATGGAGCACGTTTGGTGGTGACGGGGTGGGGGTGCCTAGATGGGTTGGATCTAGGGTGTTGTGTATTGTGTTTGGGGAGAGAGAGGAACTACCAGGCCGAGCTGTGGGAAGGATTTATCAGAGAAGGGGTGAAGGGAGATTTGACATAACCCTGTGATCGGTCATCTCTCCCTGTAGGCTGAGAATGACGGTTCTAATGATGACAAAACTAAGAAGTCTGAAGGTGATGGGGATAAGGAAGAGAAAAAGGATGACTCTGAGAAGGAAGCCAAAAAGGTAGGTTGTCTCTTCTGTAGGAGCTCTGGTGGCAGCAGCTAAGGAGCTGTGCTGCTCAGACGATTCTCCTCCACCAGCTGCTCCTTGGGAGAAAGAAGATTAATAACCTGTTCTCATGAGATTTATGATCTCTGAAAACCTGCTGGAGGGCCAGCTATGAATTGGATTTCTTACACAGGGTTGGGGTATCAGGGCTTGGGTCTTGGATTCTGACCACTCCCTCCTGTTGCATCTCCCACAGAGTACCAAGAAGAGGAACAGGAAGCAGAGTGGTGATGACAGTTTTGATGAAGGCAGCGTGTCTGAGTCTGAATCAGAGTCTGAAAGTGGCCACGCTGATGAGGAGAAGGAGGAGACTGGTAGGTTTATTTTCTTGTCCTTTGTCTTCTAGCTGAACAGGGTGAGGAGGAGGGTGTGAGGGGCTGGGATGGTTGCTGTTTGGAGGAAACTTTTGTGGTGGTGGTCGCTTACTTCTTTTTTTCTGTCTTCAACAACAACAAAATAACCAACTCCCACCACCACCTGCACAGGAGAAGCACTCAAGGAGAAGGAAAAGCCCAAGGAGGAAGACAGGGAGAAGCCCAAAGAAGCTCCAGGGCTGGAGTGCAAGCCCCGGCCCCTGCATAAGACTTGCTCTCTCTTCATGCGCAACATCGCACCCAATATCTCCCGGGCGGAGATCATATCTGTGAGTGGGGGAAGCAGGGCGCAGGGATGACAAGCAGGCCCCATTTCTTATGGAGGAGGAAGACACAGGACACTATTTTTAAATAAATGGTTTTGTTTTTCTAATAGAGAGGTCCCTGTCCATGTGACATACCCATCTAGGGCTGACCCTGATTGCATTGTTTGCTTTCAGGTGCTCACATTCTTAATGTGCTGGTCAGGTGCTGACCCTTTACTGCAGAAGGAAAAGCTTAAAAGGCAGTAGTAGTCCCTTGGGTTCTGAGGACATGAGGATGAAATGAATGCTTGTCTTGTCATTAACTGGAGTTTCTTTTCATGTTCTTTCAGCTTTGTAAAAGATATCCAGGCTTTATGCGTGTAGCGCTGTCAGAGCCCCAGCCGGAGAGAAGGTAATGAACTGAGAGCAAGGAATACCTGGGAGAGAAGCAGGAGGGAGAGGCCAACAGACACCCCCACCACACCCCTACACCATGATGCTGATGTTTTCATTCTTTTTTTCTCTTGTGTAGGTTTTTTCGTCGTGGCTGGGTGACCTTTGACCGCAGTGTCAATATTAAAGAAATCTGTTGGAACCTGCAGAATATCCGAGTGAGTTTTGAGGAGGGAAAGTGGGCTACCCATGTTTTCTATAAATTCCTTGTTCATAGATTCATTTATTCTGTACCTTATTTCATCCATCCATGCTGGCACGCATGTTACTGTGAATTAGACACACGTTGTCCCTGAAGCTCTTGGTCTTATGGACAGGGCCTGCATTGGAGTTGCTGCCTCTTGGGGAAGTGGTGGAAGGGTGAGTGAAGATTCTGTTCTGTTTCTTCCAGCTCCGGGAGTGTGAGCTGTGCCCTGGTGTGAACAGAGATCTGACCCGTCGTGTCCGCAATATCAACGGCATTACCCAGCACAAGCAGATAGTGCGCAATGATATCAAGCTGGCGGCCAAACTAATCCACACACTGGATGACAGGACCCAGCTTTGGGCCACGGAGCCTGGAACACCTCCTGTGTCAACTGTAAGTGACTACTGTGGGACTTTGAAAAGGAGTTGATGCCACCTCACCTACTGTGGGCATTTGGGCCTAGCTTGAACTGTGACATTAACTCCTTGTACCCATCTCTTCTGTTTGGGCCTTTCTGCTTGGGTAATTCTCAGCCATACAGACTAGCACATATTCTTCCTGTGGGTTTGCTGTGTGTGGCATAAGGTTGATTCCTGCCCTGTCTGAAGGGTAGAACTCCACATGTGTTTCTTAGGCTGTAATCTTTAGGATTTCCAGATCTCCCCCACCGGTCTCTGTTGAGAGGTTGGTGAGTTGAATTGTCAACCTTTTGGTTAGCAGCCAAGCACTTTAACAGTTGTGCCATTACAGATCCTTAATTATGTGTTAGGTGAGGATAGAAAAATGATCAGGCACAGATAACTCTGAGAATCCAGTGGAACCTAACTTTTCCCTCTCGTTGCCGTTTTAGTTGCGGTCCCTGGGCTCTCTTTGTAGGGTTTTCTCTGCCTTCCCTGCCCCTGCTCATCTTTGCTTTTTATCTTTCCCCTTCAGGCTCTGCCCTCTCAGAACCCAATCTTGAAGAATATCACCGACTACCTGATTGAAGAAGTGAGCGCTGAGGAGGAGGAGCTGCTCGGGAGTAGTGGGGGGCCCCCCCCTGAAGAGCCTCCCAAAGAAGGGAACCCGGCTGAGATCAATGTGGAAAGGGATGAGAAGCTGATCAAGGTACTAGCTTTGGGGCATGAGCAAGGAAAGGGTCTCACGGAGCAGTTGATGAACAGTCCTAACCTGGCTTCTCATTTCTCTTTAGGTTTTGGATAAACTCCTCCTCTACTTGAGAATAGTCCATTCCCTGGACTATTACAACACATGCGAGTATCCCAATGAGGATGAGATGCCCAACCGTTGTGGCATTATCCATGTTCGAGGACCCATGCCACCCAATCGCATTAGTCACGGAGAAGGCAAGTTCCCAGGCGCTTTGTTTCTTATTGGATTCCCATGAGGTTCCCCTTTTTCCTCAGCGGCCTCCTATTCCTGCTTCCCCCTCCTCTAATTCCCTTCTTCCACAATCTTTGCTTCTGGCTCCCTTCTCTAAACATTTTTTCTCTTTCCCTAAACCACAGTACTAGAATGGCAGAAGACATTTGAAGAGAAGCTGACTCCACTGCTGAGTGTGAGAGAGTCTCTTTCAGAGGAAGAAGCCCAGAAAATGGGTCGCAAAGACCCGGAGCAGGAAGTGGAAAAATTTGTCACCTCCAATACCCAGGAACTGGGCAAGGATAAGTGGCTTTGCCCTCTCAGTGGCAAGAAATTCAAGGTTTGGGATAGTAGAATTGACTTGTTAGAACTTTGACAAGAGGGAGTAGGCTTGGGGAGGAAGGGATCTGGGGCTATTTAATAGTGGAGTGAGGGAGGTGGGATTCTTCCAGATGGGGTCTGTGAAGAGACTTAGACTGTTGCTGTATATTGATTCTCACTTGCTGTCAGTCGATAGGACAGAGCAGAACTGTCTATAATATGGCTTCTTAAGCTGTGATCTTTAGGGCATGGGTTACACATCTTTCTCCTGCAGGGCAGCTAATAAATAGGTTCACTAACCTTTGGGTTATTAGCAGCAGAGAACATAATCCCTGCCACCTGGGTTACTATTGGAGAGGCTCAAGGAACCCCCCATTCCTTGCTCTGCCCTGACCCTCATTCTTTTCACCCAGGGCCCTGAATTTGTACGCAAACACATCTTCAACAAGCATGCAGAGAAAATTGAGGAAGTGAAGAAGGAGGTGTCTTTTTTTAACAATTTCCTCACTGATGCCAAGCGACCAGCTCTGCCGGAGATCAAGCCAGCTCAGCCACCTGGTCCTGCCCAAAGTAAGATACGATCCATGAGGGCCTGATCCGCATGCTCTTGGCTCTCTTGGACTACCTTTAACCTGTTACTATCTGACGTTTCTACCACTCCATTCTCAGGTCATATTCCTAGATTCTGTAACACATACTCCCCAACCCGCAGTAATTCACATTCCTGTCTCTGTTGTACTCCCCCCAGGCCTGACCCCAGGACTCCCCTACCCACACCAGACGCCCCAAGGCCTGATTCCCTATGGTCAGCCCCGGCCCCCCATCTTAGGTTATGGAGGTAACTATAAGAAGAGTTAAGTGGTTGTGTGGGACTGGGAGTAAGAATATCTAGAACATAATCAAAGTAGTCATTTCTCAAACTTTTTTTTTATTTAAATAGCTGGCGCCGTCCGTCCTGCAGTCCCCACAGGAGGACCACCATATCCCCATGGCCCGTATGGTGCTGGCCGAGGCAACTACGATGCCTTTCGTGGCCAAGGAGGTTATCCTGGGAAACCTCGAAACAGGTAAGGAGTTATGATGCCCAAGCTTTCTTATCAAATTTCTGTTTAGGAACCATCAAATCTTTATCCATTTACCTCTTCCATTACAGGATGGTTCGTGGAGACCCAAGGGCCATTGTGGAATATCGTGACCTGGATGCCCCCGATGATGTTGATTTCTTCTGAGCCATCCACCTTTCCTTATTCCTGGTATCTATCATCTGTACTTATGACTGCCTCATCCCATACAACTCTTGAGAATTTTTTGTACGTTCAGCCCTATTGCCAATAAAAGCACTTCCCTAATGATGTCTCAATGAATTAATGAGTATTACATATGTTGTTAGGTGCCATCGAGTCAAGTACGACTCAGTGACTCTATTAAGATCTAAACCCTATACTACCTTATGCCATCCTCACACTTCCTGACACACAAAACCCCATTGCAGTAGTCACTGTGTCAGTCCACCCGGTTGAGGGTCTTGCTCTCCTTCACTGACCCGCCACCCTTCTCAACATCATTTCCTTCTCCAAGGAATAGCCCCTCCTAGCAACACACCCAAAGAATGAGGCAAAGCCTCATCATTCTTGCCTCCAAAGAGCACTCTGGCTGCTCGTCTCCAAGACATGGTTGTTCTCTTGGCCATCCACGAACCTCTCAAAAACTGGCTGGGGCCGTGGGAAGCTCGGATAGCCACTTTATTGATGCCCAGGCTCTGCTGGGACTACCTTGGGACTCGGTGTTAAGCAGCCCTCTCTGCCTTTGACAGCTGGGTGGATGTCACGGCCTGGTTAGAGCTCCTTGGGGCCAGACACAGAGCTGGTCAAGCACAAGTTGTAGAAAGAGTTCGGGTCAAAGGCCTTCGTTACTTCTTGCCAGCCTACCCACCCAGCAGCCTGTAGTTCTCTGGGGTTTCCAGGAGCATCCCAACAGTGAGGGTCCAGTATCAGGAGGTAGGCTTCCGTGCCTGGCCCCAGACAGACTCCCAGCAAGGCCTTGGCTCCGGCATCCACGTCTCCTCCCACCATTACAGGACCCCCACCCCCTGAAAAGTGGGAGTAAAGCCTCTCCAATTCACCCTGAAGCCCCATCCCGCGGGGTACATGACACAGGCGCCCCTCTGGTCCCCCGAAATAGGAGAGGCAGAGGCTGACCTCCACACAGCCGATCCAGCTTCGGGAGCCCCGGAATCCAGGGGACTTATCACCCATGTCCTCCAGGGCGGCCTGCACGGCGGCCAGGCCCGGCACGCCCGCAGACTGGCCCTCTGGCCACGAGCACAAGGTCTGCAGAGTTCGGTAGCCGCAGCCCCAGCCCCGGTCGTCCAGGCCATCGCAGCCGTAGTGATAATAGAGGTAGTGGCCCGAGAGCAGGGCGAGGCGGGTGGCGCCACGGCACGGCGGGGCCAGGCCCACGTGGACGTCCCTCAGCAGCTCCAGGGCGCCGGGAGCGGTGGTTACCGAGGCCGCGCTGGCGACGAGCGAATTCCTGGAACTCTGGGATCCTCTTCTCGACAGATGCTGGGCCAGCCGGCAGCACGCGGAGATCCAGAGACGCCGACGCGGGACTGGAGCAGCGAGAGCTCCCACAATGCACCGCGACTCACGCCCCTCGGCGCCACCACCGCAGAAGCGCCTAGCCCGCCGGGCTCAGTGCGCAGGCGCAGGCGCAGGCGCGATCCTACACGCGGGGCGGGGTGGAGCTTGGCTGGCGGCACTTCGGCTTGCGTGCCGCCAGCATCCACACCTCCTGTTACCCTTGCACCCCCGCCCCACCCTCGGCTCCCCAGTTGCACACACTCCCGTGGCTGTAACAGTTTATTGGCAGCCCAGAGGGGCGAAGGCACCGCAAGGAAGGGAGCTCGGCCCGAGACATGCAGAGGACGGGAAGCCCCCGGGGAAAGTTGAGGAACAGGGTCTGGAGTTCATCTGTGTTACATCCCAGGCCTTAAATAAATAGTATATACAGCTAGAAGGCAGGGCGGGCAGGGCAGGGGCGGGCTCGGGGGTCCCGCCTGGGTCACAGGTCTGAGCAGCGATCCTGCTTGCTGTAATGGTCGAACTGGTTCTTCCAGTGCACCATGTAAGAGCTCCAGCGGTGGAACTCGGCCTTCCACTGGCGCTCCGCCTCGTCCAGGGTGTCTGCGGCCAGGGCGCCGGCAAATGGATGGGGGGAGGAAGACAAGGGGAAGGTTGGGGAATGGACATGGGAGGTATGGATACAGGAAGGACACACGGACAACGTAAGAAGCCACGTGGGATAATGGAAAAAGGATCAGGAGAATATATGGAAGACAGAACACCGGAAGGATGAGAGTAGAAGCGGGGCCAGAAAAGGTTGGCCGGAAGAGGTGGGGGGAAGAAAATGACCGGAAGACAGGACAGAAGGGATCAAGGAGGCGGATCCGTGGATTGGTGGGGGCGGGGGGAAAGAAGAGACAGAAATGGTTGACAGTTATAGGCCCACTGGGGGTGCTATCCAGCCCCGGGGCCTCCCTCTCCCCTCAGTATCAGGCTCAGGCTGCAGAGGTTAATTATACGTATAAAAATGTTTGGTTTTTCTATTTAAGCAACAAAGGCGTCTGGGTCCCTGAGCCAGGTCACCCCTCTCCACCCTGTCCAGTTTGAGTCTCTTGGTGTAATAAGGGAGGGGGCACTAAGTCGGAGGTCCCTGAGTGGGGTTCTTCCCCATGGTCATTAGAGGAGAGGCCGTGGTCACAGCCGCAGGAGCCGGGAGACAAGGAGGAGGAGGAGGGGCAGGGGGAGGCCGGGCCTCGGCCTCGGGGCAGCCTCCCCGTGGGCGGGACCTGAGCAGGTGCTGGGGGCCTCCGTGGCTGGGGGGGAGAAGAGAGGGGTTACACCCCGGCCAGCTCCCACGCCCCTCTCTCCGTGCCCTTTTCCCCCAGTCCTTGCCCGGGCTGGCCCCAGCGTACCGGTAGCGCTGAGCAATTTGGGTAGAAAGCGGTTCCAGAAGGCACAGGCTTGGGCGCGCAGCCCCCGCCGCACCTCCAGCGGCCGCAGATTCAGGCTCACGTACTGCTGTGCCCCCGCTGTGTAAGGTGGCCACTGCGGGGCTTTGGCGTCTCGGGGATCATTGGGGTCCCTGTAGGAGGAATGGGAAGGCTGAGTCCTTTGCAAGCCTGCCTGCCCCGGGGATGGAGGTGAGGCAAGGGTTTCCTAATTCCAGGCGCCTTTAACTCGTTCTAGGACTAGCCCCTAACTCTTCCTCCTTTCCACCACTCCTAAACCCTTCTTTCTCTTCTGTTTTCCCTCTTCAGGCAGTCTCTGCTCTCCTCCTGCCTCCTGTTCTCCCTGGTGCTTTCAGTTTTTCCTCTCTCTTACTATTTAACCGCCCAGTCCTTTCTCTACAAATGCCATGTTTACTTTTGGCAACACTCATCTGATGCCGGATTGTGGTGCCCTCTCGGGACAGGTAAACCAAAATAGATGGTGGAGGGGCAAAGAAAGGTCACACAGCTAAGCTAATAAATCACCCCCGGCCCAATTTAATTCAGCTCTGGAGTTCATGCTCCTGTGTACACCTTTGTCTTTTTCTTTGTGTAATCTCTTTTTGGATTTGCCTTTCTTACTCTGTCCTTATCTTAGACCTTGTTGCCTGCCTTTCTTCCTCTCCCTAAGTCTGTTCGCCTTATCCTTTTCTTCCTTTGTCATCTTTTATTTTTGTGAACCACTCCTCTTCATCTCTCCTGGCCTCTTTCTGTTTGCTGCCGTCCCCCAAGGCTCCCTGGCCCCCCAGAAACCCTCCTTCCCCTCAGCATTGCTGACCCTGTGCGGGCGAAGTTGGCCCAATATCTCATCAGCCGCTGGGCAAAGATTCTCTCTTCCATTGTGTAGTTTAACGAGGGTTCCAGGGGAAGCCCAAAGATGAACTCGATCTCGTAGCCGTGGGGCACCCCCATCCAGAGGGGCCAGGTGAGCGTGGAGGCACGGTGGTCAAAAGAGTAGGCATAGACCCGGGCACCCTGGGTGGCCAGTCGCCCAGCCAGCTGGGCCACGGGGCACACCACGTTGTGGTCGCCCACCACATCACTCATTGCCTCCCTAAGCCGAGCCGGGTCTTCAGGGTGCAGCCAGTCTGTGTAATGCAGGACCACAGCCTCGGCCACCAGGTCACTCACCTGGGGGACCCCGACCCGCACCCCAGCCAAGAACTGGGCCCGGCTGATGAGAGACTCGTTGTCTTTGCTGAAGCCTGGGGCCCCGTATACCAGAAAATAGGAGCCCTCATCCTTCACCACACCCACCAGCACCTGGGGGGACAGGATGAAGGACAGGGGAGGGGTACAGACAGACAGGCAGACAGAAACAGACAAAGAGCCAGAAAGGTGAACAGTTATAGACCCAGAACCACAGAGCAAGAGAGCATGAGATAGGGGGAGGGATAGAGAGAAAGAGAAAATATACCCACATTTCCATCTTTTTGTCCACCCTGGGGTCTGAGTGTGTTTGTGCCTAGGTTCTCGGGGAGGATGAGAGTGGAGAGGGGTCTGGAAGCCTGGGCCTCTGGGAGGAGGTCATGCCTGGGCCCCTGGGATGGCCTAGTATAGGGGAGAAGGGGCCCAGAGGAACCAGCACCACCCTTTCCAGCCACTAGTCACCTGCAGGCCCTGGAAGTCTCCGGCGTTGATAAGGGCCTCGGGGGTGTCACTGAGGAAATCTCCATCCACCACAGGCACAAAGGAGAATCGGAAGACACTTTCCTGAGGCAGCACATGCCACTCATGGTCCACCAGGTCCTGGGCTGGCCGTGTCCTTAGGCAGGCCACCAGCTCTGTGTCATTGCCACCAGTGCCACCTGGGGGGCAGCCTACAAGTCGGGCTAGCAGTGTGGCCCTGCGGCGGGCCTCTCCCACGCCCACGGTGGCCCAGGGTCCATTGGGTGCCCCACTCTGCAGCACAGCCCTGTGGAACAGGCCCCGGCTAGGGGGGGACAGCAGGTGCATGCCCACAGAAGCAGCACCTGCACTCTCCCCAAACAGTGTCACTGACATCGGGTCTCCTCCAAAGGCTGCCACATTCTCCTGCACCCACTGCAGCGCCAGCCTCTGATCCAAAAGACCCACATTGCCTGGGGCCTCCCGGCTCCCTGGCAGGGCCAGGAAACCAAAGGCTCCCACTCGGTAGTTCATGGACACCAGCACAGTCCCCTCGGCCTGTGCCAGAAAGCGGCCATCATACACGTCCAGGGAGGAAGCCCCACTGTAAAAGCCACCCCCATAGATCCAGACAAGGACAGGGGCGGGGGATGCAGGCTTGGGGTATGGTGTCCACACGTTGAGGTAGAGGCAGTCCTCACTCAGCTCACGGTTGGGGTTCCACATCTCAGAGCCCTCAAAGCCAGGGTACAAGGTGTCCACGTATTGGTAGCAGACACTCTGGAAAGACGTGGCATCCAGTACCCCTGACCAGGGCCGCTTGGGCTCTGGTGGAAGAAATCGACGGGGACCCACAGGTGGCTCCGCAAAGGGGATGCCCAGAAAAGCAGAGACAGGGCCCCCAGGGGCCATCAGGCGGATACCCCGCAGGCGGCCCTCTCGAACAGTCACCACTAGGTTTCGGTCCTCCTGACCCTCAGCCCCTGGACCTTCTCCAAGGAAGAGAAGGAGGAGAAGGAGTGGGGAAGCCAGGGAGGGCGTTTGCAGGGGACACCACGGGGGCCGCATGGCTGCCACGCAGGCAGTTGTCTGTTGGAAGAAAAAAAAAAAAGGCACAGGGTGAAGGCCTGAGGAAGGAGATTAGATAACACGCTTGCCCAGTCGTGATCTTTGAGATGCAGAAGAGGTGGGGCAGGTTAGCAGACGGGGAAAGAAACGGAGGGAGGAAGGGAGGCTGCCCAGAGAAGGACATAGGGCAGACGGAATGGAGAGGGTATGAAGACCAGGCCAACACATCCAGACAAACCCAGGGGAGAGAGCACAAGACAGGCCAGCCAAGGAACTCCCCTCCCACCCTCCCCTGCAGACCGCCCTCACCTCCTTCCCTGCTGTGTGAACTGGCCCGGCCCAGTGCGTGCAGTGCGGACACCAGAGGCCCGCAGTCCACGCACAGGCCACACGGTAGGGGCGGGGCCCTCACCGGCCCGCCGCGCTGATGGAGGAGCTTGGCATGAAGGCGCAGACCAAGCCTCTCCCAGGTGGTTAAGGGCTTGGACCCTGGGAGTGGGTTGGGTATTTAGGGCGTGGAAACCGTAGGTCCTAGGGCACCCCAAATCCTGCCTGCTTAACATTTTGCCCCACCCTGCCTAGCCTCATCCACTCCCTGGCATAGAGTGCTGGGACCCACTGGTTTTCATCAGTTGCAGGTCTGCCCCCCCCAACTTTCTTTCCCCTTCCTCTGCTCCTGCAAATAGGTTCACCAGCTCTCGCCCCCAGGACTCAGTCCTCTATCCGTCCGATGTTGTGGTGCAGGCTGCGGCCAGGCGGCGGCAGTAGAGACCGAGAAAAGGATGGCGCTCCCCGCCCCGAACCCAGGAGCCGGGAACTTGGGGCGGGGGTCTGAGGGCTCTCAGGCATTGCTGAAGGGTCTGCAGAGCAAGCCGGGGCGCCAGTGTTCCCAGAGCTCTGGAGATCCCCGGCTGCAGGGACGGGGCGGGGTGGGGGGCGCTATTTTGGGGCAGCAGCTGCTGTGGTTCCGGCATCTCCGGCCAAGGGATCAAAATTCCCCGGGTCGGAACTCCCCCCTCTACCGGCGGTCACCCCTCATCCAGCCCCAGCCGCCTCGAGCTGCAGAGAGTGGTGGTGCTGGAGATTAACTAGGAAATCCGAGTGGGGCTAATTATAACTCGGGGCTTCCGCTGATCCTCCCCTTACCAAAAAAAAAAAAAAAAAAAGACGGAGTCCCCGCGGGAGGAGGCCGCCCTGGGCCTCGGAGGGGATCTCGGTCGGCGCTGCGCAGGGGAGCTCCCTCCCCGGCCCTCGGGATCCCGCGGCCCAGCCAGAGCCTGGAACCTGCGCAGCTCGGGTTCCGCCCCAAACAGGGGGGATGCCTCCCAGCGGCTCCAGATTTGGAGAATCAGGAGGAAGGGGCGCTAGGGAGTCCCCACGGGAGCGAGAGGGGAGGCGGTGGCCAGCCCCGCAGGGCGCCAGCTCCCCTGCTGGCGGCGTCCGTAAGTGTGCGGCGGCGAGGGAAGAGTTAAGGATGCGTGTGGGGCGGCAGGGGGCGTCGCTGGGTAGGCCTGGGGGCGCCAGGGGCGTCCGGTCTGGGGGTCTAGACCCCTGGGGTGGGGGGCGCGCCGTCCCCTAGATGCAGATGGCCGGCGGAGGGTCCTGGGCGAGGCCGGAGACTC